TCATTACTGCTAAGGGCTAAAGGAATACAAGGCTCAATAGAGCTTTGACTCTCAGTCAGCCTGGCTACAGTGCTGAAAAGAAACCTGGGGTTGTTCTTATTTTCTTCTATTAATGCTGAGTAATAGTTTGCTCTGGCATTGCGGAGTCCCCTCTTATACCTTTTGGGACTTTCTTCCCAGATTAAACAAGATTCTTCCAGTTTGGTTAATCGCCAATTCCTCTCAGATTCTCGCAGTGTTTGTTTTAATTTTTGGGTTTGAGAGTTATACCAAGAAGCGAACTTTCTTTGATTTGTTGACTTCTTTTTAAGAAGAGTCGAGTGTTGTTCGCAGCGAGCCTGCAGTGCTATCGACAAGATGATCAATTCGGGAGAGTTTAAAGTCGGTACAGGAAGCCTCTGTTACAGAAGGACATTGTATTAAATTCAACATCGATGGAATCTTTGCCTTCAATTTTGCGACAGCATATCTGATAAACATCTAGTATAGTAACTGTTGCAAGTGGCGTGTAATCGAGTAAAGAGAAATCAAAAGTTAGCTGACTAGCTAACAAGAGGCACCCATCATTTGTACTTATCTCCAAAGAGGAGGTGTCATTAAGTAGTAGACACTGTGAGTGCCGGATGGCTTTCGTCATCTTCCCAAAATCTATTAACCCTTACAGACGGTTTTAAATTCCATCCATTCACCCAGTAGGGACTCATTGAGTCCTTGTGATGGTTGAAGTCATAACTTTTTAATGGTTTTATCTTTTAAGATTTTTTTTTTTTTTGTTATGTTATTTAACTTCTCTCCCACCATGAATGTTATAATTCAAACAATAAAATTAGTTAATTAACCCTTTTCAGGCTGGTTTCTGTGATGTGCCACTCGTTTTTATTCAAAAAACAGCCCAAAAATGAAATATTATCTAGTTAGAGAGGGATTTTTTTTTTAAATGATTACAACTGTCTGAGCTCAGGCAATGTTTATGAGGAATATCAGTTTTTATGCATTTTTACTTTTTTTGTAGTGTTAGATTGAAAAAAATATATAGCTTTCACCCAGTTAAGGACTCATTGTGTCCTCATGATGGCTGAAGTCATAACTTTTTAATGGTTTTATATTTTAAAATTTTTCGTTTTTGGTTATGTTATTTAACTTCTCTCCCACCATGACTGTTAAATTCAAAAAATAAAATTAGTTAATTAACCCTTTACAGGCTGGTTTCTGTGATGTACCACTCATTTTTATTCAAAAAAACACCCCAAAAGTGAAATAATTTCAGTTTACAAGAGGCTGGAGGGATATTTTTTTAATACTTATATCTGCCTGAGGTCAGTCAATTTTCATGCAGAATATTAGTTCATACGCAGTTTTACTTTTTGTACAGTGTAAGATTAAAGTAAAAGACTCATTGAGTCCCCTATTCAATTCCATGTAATTTTTTTGAGAACAATGGGCTGGCAGTAAAACACCCTGACACGATGCTCCTTACAGGCGGTACATTTGCATTCGAAGCAGACAGTGTCCACTTTTCCTCTCTTTGTGCGTGTGCACAGAACACACAAGCGCCGACCAGGCTGCCTCCTCTTCGGCTCGCTGGGTCGGCCGTTAGCTGGTGGCAGGTTGCTGCCGTTCCTCTGGCTGGCTGTGTTGGAGGCTGCTAGTTGGTTGCTGGAGGCAGATGATGTGCTTCTATACAGGGCAAGTACCTGCCTGGTTCTCTGCCTGCCTCTCCCGGATGCTGCTGGCTGGCTGTTACTCTGGCCAGCCCTGCGAAGGGCAACCACCGCCTCAGCCAAGCCTGGATCATGTGGGAGCCTCCGCCTTCTTGACAAGTGGGGTGAAATCAACGCCATCCCGAGCTCTTGAAGGAAGAGCCTGCGCTTGTAGGTCATTCCTTGTTTCCAAGCAGGCTGCACCTCCCCCCATATCACTCTTCCATAGTCTGTTAAGGGGCAAAGGCTTACATGAAGCTTTAGTTATACACTTACAAAGGTCTGAGACAATACCTTTATTTTCGTCTTCAGTGCCAACTGTGAAATGAAGGGGGTGAGTTTCTAAATCAGTTCACCATGGGAAAAGTTGAGTGTGCATAGCTGCCTGTAATTGTAAATTAAAAGGGAAGGAAGTGCCTAGGAAGTTATAAGACTTTTGTAGGTCTTAGAACTCATGGAGTCCTTGTTGCCCTATAATGTCTTGAACATTATAGGGAATAATGTCTTGAACATTATAGTATGAAGACCTTTATCATCCCACTGTAAAAAGAGCCTCCCATCTACCAAAATAGAATAGTTATGAAAAACTGGAGGTTGACAAAAGAATTCATTGAGTATTTTCGCAAACTGTGACACTTTTTGCCAAACAGTGAATAGGGATGATATAATTGGCCCAGAATCCCGTTTAACTTTCTTATAGGATATGTTGGAGTATATCAAATTTGGTATAAAACTATTAAATTTCAAATAACATGTATGCTAGATAAGCAAATAATCTATTTGGGACATCTCATCTATATTACAACACGTAGATTCATAGCTGCACATTGCCTGTTCCAAAAAAAATCTGTTTCTGCATAGACAATGTATTCACTGCATCCCAGACAAAGTCAGTCACAAAAAAAATATTTTTGTTTTTAAGCCTAATGTGATCAGGCATTCCAATACATCTCTTCTCCTGTGAAATTTCTCTGCCTCACCACAAGCTCCTGCAGCTCCCCGCAAGTTAGGACTCCTCTGGAGCTCTCCTGAATGATAGCAGAGGAAGGAGTGATGTTCTACTCTGAGATGTTTGGTAGATACAGGCTCTGGATTTTACTATTTATCTGAAACTGTCACTTGATGAACTTTGGAGAAAGCGAAAAGTTCTCACAGGTAAATTTCTCAAGAAAGTCCTTTTAAAAAAAATATGTCTATGTAAATGCTGGACTCTCAGTTCATTTGGTCATCATCAGTTCAGTAGCCTACTCTGGATCAGAACCATGGACGTCATTAGACCTAGACATTCCTGGCTATAGCCCCAGATCTTTCGGGCACAGCCCCGGATCTTTTAAGCCTCTGTTTTTTTTTGTTGTTGTTGTTTTGTTTTTTTACTAATGAAGCACCTTGTTTCCAACTTAAAGTCCACAGCACGGCACGGGAGCACAACAACATACAGCAACGCAAGCAGCACAGCAGCACACAACACATTCACT